GTTCAACCCAACACTGACCATAAAATCAGACGCTTCCCTCACAGGTTATGGCGCAGTTTGCAAAGGAGAGATTTTCACTGGAATATGGACCACGGAAGAAAGATCTCGGTGGCACATTAACCTACTCGAAATAGAAGCAGGAAGGAGAGCTCTACGATATTTTGGAGCAGGAAGAACGAACCTCCACGTGTTAGTACTAATGGACAATACGACAGCGATTGCTTGCATTAATAATAGAGGATCATCACATGCAAACGAAGCCAACCATATTGCTCAGAAAATATGGACATTTGGTGATCATAGAAACATGATGATCAGAGCCACGCACATACCCGGTAGAATCAACTACGAAGCTGACTTTTTGTCCAGAATAGGACAGAGGAAAGAGCAGGAATGGGGACTACACTGCGCAGTGTTTAATCAAATTACAGCCAGATGGGGAAAACCCTCGGTTGATCTCTTCGCTTCAGCGTTCAATAACAAGACGGAGAGGTACATATCCCTTATTCCAGATCCAGGAGCCTGGAGAATCGATGCATTCAACAATACTTGGATGAACTTGGACCAGGAAGGTCCAGTCTACGCGTTCCCTCCCTTCATCCTTATAGGAAGAACAATTCGAAAGGCGATAACGGAGAAAGTATCTATGATACTAATAACGCCGCAATGGAGGACACAGCATTGGTATCCGATGCTGAAACAGGTAGCAAAAGAGGAAGCAATGCTCCTATACCATCCAGAGATCCTGACAAATCCAGCAGGAGCGCCACACCCCTTAACCAGGGATGCACATTTTCAGCTTTGTGCTTGGAAAATTTAAAGAAACAACACACAGACCTGGACGAGACATCCCAGAAACTAGCGCTAGAAGCATGGGCCTCAGGAACAAAGAAGCAGTACAATGCTGCCTTAAAGGCATGACACAAATATTGCAACGACCAAGGGATAAGTTCAACACCTAACCCTACTACTTTAGCCAATTACATAGCCAGGCTGGAAACAGAAGGCAAAGCCTTCTCCACAATTAACTCACATAAAGTAGCTATTTCGGCACTGGGGGATTTCCTAGGAAACCAACACCCCATAAAGGATTCGCCTCTAATTAACCAAGTAATGAACGGATTATTTAGAAAGAACCCTCCAAAACCAAAATATGCCACGACATGGAACACAGACACCCTGAGGGAATACTTGGCCAATCGCCCCAAGATAGCTCTCCTTGAACCAGAAGAACTGGAAAGGAAGACAATCATCTTACTAGCCCTATGCTCGGGTAGGAGAGTCTCAGAATTAACAAATCTGAATCGAGATGATATCCTGGAAACGGAATCTATGATATCGATACCAATCAACTATCGAAATAAAAACAGGAGCAAAGGCGCACCACATATGATCCACTTGGCTCAAGCAGAGGAGGAAACTCTTTGTCCAGTGAAACATATTAATGCATACCTCAACTTAACAAAAGAAACCAAGTGTGAGAAGTTGTTTATTAACCGAAAGACAGGATCCCCCCTATCATCGGCAACGCTAGCTCGCTGGATCAAAGAACAACTGAGTGCAGCAGGTATCTCATCCAACTTCTCAGCTCACTCTATTCGAGGAGCAGTTGCAACCAAAGCAACATTCAAAGGAATGAGTGTGGACTCACTAATGAAACAACTTAACTGGAGAAGCAAACGAACAGTCGAACGATTCTACCTTAGACCCGAAGCTTTACAAGAGTCGATTCTACTTTGAACTCTCATAGTAGTATTAAAATAGACAATTTTACGATTTTAAGAAGTAAAATAATTATTTTATTACTACTATAGTCCCACCGTCCCTCCCAGTCAATCAAAAGAATACTCAAGTTGGTTGTTTCAGTTACAACAAAAGAAAGAATCGACAATATCAACATTCAAGCTACAAGGGATTTAATCCCAAAAACAAAAGCAATTTTAAGAAAAGATTCCAAAAAGAAGAATAGGATATCAAGTCTACGATATAATTGTTATGTTTAGCCTTATCAGTAATAATAGAAGTCTTATTAAGGTTATAGGTTTTTTGAAGAATGATATATGATAGGTGTAATTACGAAAGATGTTTACTATTGCGAAATTTTTG